AAATAACACCACAATAAACCTTAATAACATTTAAATAACTCTACAAGAAAATAATAATAACATCAAATAACCTTAATAACACCGCAAAAAAAATTGCAGTAACATCACAACTGCTGCAATACCACTCAAATAACAACACAATAAACCTCAATAACTCCACAAAAAGACCGTAATAATACCAAATAACAGCAATAACACCAAATAACCCCAACAACTCAAAAAAAAAAAAACCACAATAATACCAAATAGCCTCAATAACTCCACAAAAAAAAAAAAAAAAAAATACACAACACCATAATTATAATAACGTCACATCCGATATAATAATACTCAAATAACACCACAATAAACCTTAATAACATTTAAATAACTCTACAAGAAGATAATAATAACATCAAATAACCTTAATAACACCGCAAAAAAAATTACAGTAATAAAAATGGAATACCACTCAAATAACATTACAAAAAATTGTAATAACACCATAGCCGTCGCAATACACCTCATATAACACCACAATAAACCTCAATAACTCCACAAAAAAATCACAATAGAATTTCGAAGAAATGGACTGGTTCGGGACGTGTCACGGATTAAAATAAACATTTTTTTTTTGTTTTTTATTAAGTGAGACCGTGATTTACATATGATGACACGTGACGAACTTAATATTTTTTTCGCTCCCATGACTACTAACTAGATACAATTTGTAATGAAATTTTAAAAATACTTAATTTATATTAGAATACTAGATAAACAAAAGATAATAAAGATATCAAAATTTAATGTAATTGGCTACGATCTACGTGCATGATCTACTTTATTCAAAGTATATGCCTCAACGAAAGATCAAATATTTTTGTCTGTACCCCTGTCCATTGTGTTTAATATTTTGTCTTCTTTTGTTTTCTCTTTAGTAAATCCATCAATCTTTTATAACCACCCTCAATACTATGTAATATAATCAATTGCTCAACATCATTGATGAGTTGTGTTGAATGGTAATTTGTTCGTGAACGACACATAAAAAAATAGAGCGTAAGATAAGAGAGAGAGAAATGTATATTAATAAACAATAAATTGAATTGTTGACTTGTCATTTCACATAAACGATTCCACTATTTATAAAGAATGGGGCACAACATGTGAAATTATATATTTTCATATTTTTTAATAGAAGTTTTACATGATATTTTTGGTGTTTTACAAGAGTTGAATGACGATACTGAACTCTTCACTTGAGTCGCATTATGACGAGAGATAGGTCAATGTTT